CTTCACGGGCAAGGAAGGTTAAACCGCTACTCTAGGCAACTGAAATGAAAAATGAACTCTGATTATTTTAAAGGAGTTAGAGGAGAATTCAATTTATAGTTTTAAACCAATAAAAGCCGATATGAAATTGAGAGGCACACCGAAAAAATAGTATTGGTGTTAGTAAAATTCTTATAGATGCCACAATTCCATTGTAAAGCTTTGGGGATATGAGGAAATGAGGAGCCCGGACGAGAAGGTCAATACAGAGGCATTCCGCGACACCTATGTGAACGGTCAGAGGACTGCGTACTGTGGACTGCGGACTGGGTATAAAACACGGACGTGGTATAAAATGCGGACTGCGGACTGGTGGAAAAACTGTGCTAATTTGTTCAAGGTAAGGTAAAATAAGATCAAAAGATCGCTTAATAGCACAACACGTGAGTTTAAGTTAGAAATACTCCCAGACATTCTTGGTGGAGGTGTGCCGCCCGGTTCTCTGAATCCAGAGCCTGACCAAAAAGCTATTTTCTACACCCATTCTTAGACCTGTTCTCGGTCTCTAACATCCATGAAAGGGGTCACAAACGCGATTTACATGTTTAAATAGGTGTAAACCATGTCATCTTCGCTTAGAATATGACGTTGGATGATATATTTCATTTTGGTTTTTATTAAAGTATAGGTGAGTAAACCCCTCCCTCATCCGCTAACTGGAGGGTTTGTGCTTCGACTGCCCCCATATTGACCCCTATCTGGGTTCCTTTTTTCCTCATATCCCCAAGGCTTTGAAATAAAATTGTGGCATCTATAAGAATGCCACTATCACTATCACCAATACTATAATCATTCGGTGCCTCTCAATTTCATATTTTCTATTGGTTTAAAACTATAAATTGAATTCTCTTCTAACTCCTCCTTTTTTATAAAATTCAGAGTTTCATTTGCAGTTGCCCTGAGCAGCGGCATAACCTTCCTTGCCTATCCAGTTATGCTTTCCTTCTCCACGCCGACGTTGGACGTTGGGGAGAGTAGACTACACTCCCCCGCATTATGTTTGTATGTGAGGCAAGGAGCTGAGAATACTGTTTTATGCTAGTGCGCTATCCGTTTCTCTCAGTTTTACCTTTCTAAAGTTGTTTTTATATACACCGTCCGTAGTCTTCATTTTATACCTATTAGTCCGTGTGTTATACCTAGTCTGCAGTCCGTGGTCCGCAGTCTGAAGTCCACGTTTTATACTGACCGTAGAGGAGACTGTTATCCACCTGTTATCCACCTAGGCGGAAGGCTGAGATGAATTACAGCCGCGAAATCTGCATAATTCTTGATATCATACGAAAGCCGAATTCAGTTATTGTTTTATCAATCATTTAAAATGTTTTTAGATCAAGCATCCTAACGTGATCGCAGATTTTAAACAAGCTCAGTTTCAGAATATGAACGGTTGTTTTTTTGGATATATACTCTGCAAAAACCAGATAATCATCTTTACATCCATCGAGCACAGTTTTATAGCTTGTTCTTTGCATTCGTTTCTTTCAATTTTTTTTCAGTTGTTCGGCTTCTTCGTATTCGCATAGCCGTGATTTTCTTGAGTTCTACATTCATCCCAAAACAGATAAGCTGGCGCGCCATTCTCTTACCTGAGTCAATGATTCTATATGAGCAATTTACAATTACTGAAGTCAGAGTGAGTTCAACTATTGGATATAGCCTCTCCCTTGGGAGAGAGGGAAAATGGGAGGGGATTATCTATTACCTATTAATTATCCATTGATTTTGTTTTTCACTATCATAAGAAGATTATCCCCTCATGATTCTTTAAAATCGATCCGTTAAGTCTGAACATCCGGACCTGGGAGGGCGGTAAATCCTTCATTTACTGGCTGGTAAGAGCGACTCTGGGATATCTCGGCTTTCTCATATTCGAGATTCCACATTCCATTACTGCTTATAGCGTGACTGGCATGCAAGTATACTGAAAGGTTACTGAAACCGGTGTCACAGTGATATGTGTATCCCCGTGATATGTGTATCCCCATACACATATCCCTAGTGATATGTGTATCCCGGGTGGGGATACAATAAACACTGATGCTAAGTATCGATCCGCGGCTCAATAATAAAAATGGCGGCTCAAGAGGGAGCAAATGGTTGTTTTGTTTTCAGTTAGACTCTTAAACATTGTACTCTTCACTTTGTCAAGTCTAAGAGAAAACGTCGGAGATTGTTTTTAAGAAGCAAGGTAAGGAATAAATTAATTTTATTCAATAGCTTTTGTTGGCCGGTTGGTATTACGGTCGTCAGCAGCCCATGCCATAACTTGTCTCGAGACGAAACCAGGGGAGATTTAAAACGCCGATTATTGTACTCTCGGTTTGGGATGGGTAAATAAACGTTGTGTTAGCTTACCTACCTGAATAGTTGTCCTTTTGCCTCAGAAGTGGTATTTTGAGTAATTTTGAAGGTTTTGAGTTCGCTGTTTACTGTTGTCTTATTAAAAGGACAAGAGTGTACTAAATTTTTTCAACAGCTCCAGCGCTGGAGATTTTCCCCCCAAACTCGCATTACTTCGCTATCAAACCTCGCAGCTGAAAGTTCGAAAGATTCTATTAATCAGTGAACTCAAAATCCTTCAAAATCGCTCGAAATACCACTTCTGAGGCAAACGTATGGCCCTTTACCTTGGGGAAGGTGACACAACGTTTAATTATCATTGATCTAGCGATGTACCGCTACAGATGAAGCAAACGGTAAATCCAGTACATTCACTATAAAATTGCAATACAATGGGTTTCACGATCAGATTGTGAACAGATTGTGTCGGCTCCCTGTGCTTACTGACCACTGGGAGAGCTCAAGAAACTTTAAAATGCCTATTCTAAGGGGTCCCCCGATTTCACAGAAAGAGCAGTTTATCAGTATTTATCGGTATTTTCAAACTGAAGGAGATCCTAACAAGCCAAACCTATAACATCAACTAGTACGGATGATTGAACAATGCAATAAATTTCTATTTGACATTCTATTCCACATTTTGTTAAAGCTCTCAACGTATCTAGTTCTCTTAAAAAAATGAAATCACTACTCCTTAATGCCCTAGGTTAATGAAGATATTTATTTGAATGTTATGTATTTAGTAGAATATTTTAAAAAGTTAAGCTCCTGGTACATCGTATATACCTCCTGTTGTAATTTTAATCTGTTTTTTTTTCTAATAACAAAATCCTTGTGCTTCAGTTTGTGTGAGGGGTTTTTCTTTCTGTATGTTGTTGTATTTCTTTTCTTTTCCTTTTTTCTTAATATGTCATTTATTTTTAATATATCCTTTATTTATAATTTTTGTCCTGCCTAGATTAGCGCTATAGCTATTTGCAGGGCATGAAGTATTGTAAGCGTTATGGATCTTAAAAAAAATACATTGTTGTTGTTGTTGCTTGTCTTATCTGATAAGCATTTGTCATGCGTCCCACTCCCACGGGGGATACAAATGCATGAAGAATCCCAAAGGATGCGTACGTGGAAGGCTAAGAACAATATTAAACTTGGATAAATGCATTTTTATTCACATATAGTTAAGTGTTCAAGTTGTAGCTGGAATAGATATGTCTGTGTGAGAAAACCTACATTTCATAGGAAGAACTGAGTTAACTGTAATAATAGCAGTCCATTTTCTGGAGTTAGGTATGTCTGATCCATTCAAAGGGATATACTTTCAGAAAATTATTATATCAAAAGTTTTTAACTACAGTTTAGCCTTGGTAATAATAAATAACCTGCCACCCTCTGGGAAAGGAAAAGTGGCTGCTTAAAAGTGATTCTATCTTGATACAGCAAATTACTGACATAATTTAACTTTTATCCACAGGGTATCTGGTGACTGGTTACTGAATGAAGAGTGGCTACATAATAACAGACCTTTTTGAAAGAGGTTGTCTGTACTTAGGCTTTACATGTTCCTCTACATGTGTACCTAATTGAGAATACTATTTTTGCAAACTGTTATCATTTGATTCCATTATTTCTTACAAGGCTTTGCTTTGCCGGCCCCCGGCAACCTACAGGCTCTTTGGCTATTTTTGGAATGGGAATGTCACATTTTCGAAAAAACTGAAGTGTTTGGTACCCTAGATATCACAGGCTAAGGACTTCTGTGCCTCTAGGCCTTTTTAGAGCCACAGCCCTGCCTCTGACAGGAGTATTACCACATGTACAACACTGAAACAACTTACAGAAAAACTGACCCAAAACAAACTCTGAGTTAACAGTTAGGTCTTAACACAGTATTATTGAGCAGTATTCGTTTTTCTTCCAAAAGCTTTTCCTAGCTTACAGTGACAGTTTCCATAAATACAGGCTTGCACGTTTGCCACACACACTTATATGTAGCCTGTTTAACTAAAATTTCTTGCCCAAGAAACCTTATTTTTGGGCAGGGAGTGATGTAAGTTTGTGAGCGTGTGAGTTGAGTTCCCTTTTTCCAGAGCTCTTGCTACTGAGAGTTATCTTTCGTCTACATGATGTATATCTCTACATGCATAGAATAACAATAACAAAGAATGACTCTGCCAACCAACTAGACCACAACCTTGACTGAAATCACTACCAGTCACATTAGTGTTCTGAATCAAATATTTATGCTTAGTAATCGGGCAAGATTCTGCTCCATCGGTTTGAACCAAAATGCAGTGGAGGTTTCTTTGCACATACATCTTGTGCTTGTTTTCAACCTTTGCTCGGTGCAGGAAGTATGAAAATGTGCTTAATCAACACAATTGTTCTATGTATACTTTCAACAGAAACAAACGAGCTCTGTTTTGGCATAATCTTGTGATACCGCATATTAATGAATGTCAATAACAATGCTGAGACTTACTAATCAATGGCAACTCTAACATTAACGAATTTGGTACTACTTCTTTGGAAAAGATATTCAGCTTATCCTTAGGTAACTACAGAAGTTTTGCTACTTAGGAACTTGTAGAAATAGGGGGCACTGGCAGATTTCCTCGTGAGCACGTTTTGCACCTCCATTGAAATCTGGCAAATTTGAAGACTTTGTCAGCGATCTGTTGGCATTCTTTGTGGAACCACTTTTTGCACCCTGTACATTCTGCCATTTTGTCTTTTGGGGGGTTGTATGGCATGCGGCATTCGCAGTAGACACTGATTTTGACAAGCTTGTTTTGATCTTGTGGCCTCCTCTTCTCAAATGGGAACATGCTCAAGTGTCCACACTGTAATGCTTGCCAAAGATGATCTCTAATTGCCCGTCTGTTGAACTTAAGAGATGTTGGGTCTAGGTTGTTGCACAGAGCTGTGGCAAATGCTATGGCATATACTCCACAGTCGGTCCCGTTGGTCTGCTGAACAACTGGTGGAATAGATACCTCAATATGTTCAGCATTATCAACAAAGAGAAGGGATGCTATCTGCTCCTCATTCTGGGGAGATATACCATGGTAGAGGCTGTCATATAGGTTGACTTTGTTGTTCCCCTTACATCCAATAGTACTCACGGTGACCCAGTGAAGCCCTCCAGTGTGAAGAACTTGGACAAATTCCTGTCTCATTACTGGAAACTGTTGGACAGTTGATATTGAAGGAGACATCAGTCCCTCTATGTGAGGAAATTGGCGATGTAACAGTTCCTGTGCCATTTGAATGTGCTTGTCAGTAAGCATTGCAGTTTTGCTTATTGCACTATCCTCCGGTTCCAGGTTAAACTTTGGCCTCTGCATCTTGAGGATTGCTTGCTCATCCATCTTACAACGTTTTATAAACTCTACTTCCCCGTCCTGTGCACAGTTTTTTCTTTTCTGTCCAAAGTTATTTCTTTTCTTTTTGGTTTTCTTGTCTACTTTATTTTTCAGGTGTGCCATGAAGTCCCCCAATTCGTCCTCACCACCAAGGGATAGGAATGTTTCTGCCTGGTCATAGGTCATATCTAGTCGATGGCAGCACAGGTGGACAAGTGCCTCAGGCAGCAGTACTTCTGTTAGGCACGTACTTGGAAGCTTTGGAAAGTGTTTTGCAATTAGTTGAAGCATAGCATAAGCTTGGTTTTCATCAAAATCACCAAATGTGACATTAAATTTCAGGTCATCTCTGTCAATGGTTTCAACCCCTTCCAAAGAAGTTTTACGACAGTAAACATTGTATCGCCAGCTGTTGTTAGTCCCATCAAGTATGCTTGACAAAACACCCAGTATGACTTCATTGAAACTGACAATGATGTCCTGTTCAGTTATGGCCTTGAGTTTGTTACTTAAGCTGCGAAAATCTCTTGCTCCATGCAAATTTCCTAGCAGAGGGGCCTGCCGTACAGCTTCTTCACCCAGGTTGCTTGATGTTGAGGGAGGCGCTATAGCTGCTCCGATGGACTCGTTTGTATTTGGGGCAGGTTCTGCTACTCCCGCTCCTCGTTGGTCATATGTTGAAGGGACTGGTCTTTGGACGGGTTGTTGCACCTCTGCTCCTCCCGGCTGACTCGTTGATGGGGCTGGTCTTTGAGTGACTGGTCCACTGGGCTGACTTGTTGTTGGCATTGAGGCAGGTTGTTGCACCCCTGCTCCTCCCGGCTGACTCGTTGATGGAGCTGGTCTTTCAATGGCTGGTCCACCCGGCTGACTTGTTGTTTGTGTTGGGGCAGGTTGTTGCACCCCTGCTCTTCCCGGCTGACTTGTCAATGTAACTGGTCGTTGAGTGGCTGGTCCGCCAGGCTGACTTGTACTTGGTATTCGGACAGGTTGTTGTACCCCTGCTCCTCCCGGCTGACTCGTTGATGGGGCTGGTCTTTGAGTGACTGGTCCACCGGGCTGACTTGTTGTTGCCATTGAGGCAGGTTGTTGCACCCCTGCTCCTCTCGCTTGACTCGTTGATGGAGCTGGTCTTTGAGTGACTGGTCCACTGGGCTGACTTGTTGGCATTTGGGCAGGTTGTCGCACCCCTGCTCCTCTCGCTTGACTCGTTGATGGAGCTGGTCTTTGAGTGACTGGTCCACTGGGCTGACTTGTTGTTGGCATTGGGGCAGCTTGTCGCACCCCTGCTCCTCCCGGCTGACTCGTTGATGGGGTTGGTCTTTGAGTGGCCCACCCACCGGGCTGACTTGTTGTTGTTATTCTGACAGGTTGTTGCACCCCTGCTCCTCTCGGTTGACTTGTTGATTGGGCTGTTCTGTGAGTGGCTGGTACATCGGGCTGACTTGTTGTTGGTGTTGGGGCAGGTTGTTGTACTGCTGCACCACTCAGCTGAGTGGATTGTGTAGGTTGCCACACACTCGATACCCCCGACTGGTTATTTTGTGGTACAGCTGATATACTGTCTTGGGGTCGTGTAGGGTATTGTTGAGCTGAGGATTCCTGTAGTAGGGCATCATTTGAAGGTGTTTGTGACGTGGACTGCTCCCTATACAATTTAAGGTCTTTTAGATTAATTTTTCTTTGCAGTAGTCTTCTGTCTTTCGCTCGTAGTTTGCATGTTCCCTTCACCAGATCAAGTCCTTCTACAGTATATGGCCCAATCCATTGGTCCTCCATCTTGTGCCCCTTTGATGTCTTCTGCAGCATGTTTCTCCGCAGAACAGTATCGCCATTATTGAAGGTAAACTTCAGACCTCCTGTCCTTTTAAGGTATTGTTGCTTTTGCTTCTGCTGGGCAACGTCTATGTTTCTTTCAATTTTGGGAAAAACAGCATCTCGGATTTCGGTCATTTTTCTATATGTGCCTGTAAACTATTATCTGAACACAGCTCCGTCATAACATTATTGATCGCCTCATCTCCCTCTTCGAGAGGTGTTACAAACTTTTCGACTTCAAATGGCATACGAGGGTGCCGCCCAAACATGACAAAAAATGGACTACACTTGGTAGTGGTAGAAACGTTGGTGTTGATCGCAAAAAGAGCCCCATCAATGTAGTCATCCCAGTTGTCGTCCTGTTCATCCATGACCTTCCTGAGGATGCTGGTAAAAAAAAAATGAAAGGGAGTAGATTGCTAATTGAAAAGAAATTGACAGTCATGTTCAGTTTTCACTGTGGGTGTTTTTTGATAAGGAAAAGTGGTTTGACTGGGATGTTTGTAATTTTCACAGTCGTCCATATTTGACAGAACATGCTATTTGGATGACACGCAATGATTAAAGGAGAGATATAGGCCCTTTGCAGCTTGCCATACATGTGGTACAAAACCGCCATGCTGGGACGCAAAATTTACTCTGGGGCAAGACCAACAAAAGGCAGACAATTTTCAATGGTAATTTCCTTTGTTTGTCTTGTCCCAGTGCGACGTTTGCGTCCCAGCTGGGCGGTTTTGTACCACGAGAATGGCAAGCTGCAAAGGGCCTATTTGGACCGAATAATGATAAATATTCGGTTGCTTCATTACTTTCTATGAAGTGGCAAAATGAGCTTACAAGTACTTTCTGAAGGTGCTTGAAACGGGTACACTTAATGTTGTCAATGTTGTTCATGCCAGTATTTTCGACTGTTGCTACTGTTGTTTGGTTATTGCTTTTATAATACTTTAAGTATAAAATGGGCGTACCTTTTGATAGACTGGTTTGATCTCTCATCTAGACCATTTGACTGTGGATGATATGACGATGTGATCCTGTGCTGGACTCCAAAAGTCTTCATTAGCTGTTCACATACCTGGAGTAAAGACACCCACTTAAGAAAACTTTCAAAATGTTGATGGACTATTAAAAGCTAGGTGATTTCAAAGTCTTTGCTACCTACCTGATTCACAAAGTCCCTTCCCTGATCAGAGATTATGTGAGCTGGAGCTCCATGTCGACAATAAGTCTTGTAAAGGCCTTTTGCCACACTCAAGGCACTCTTGTCAGGGAGAGGAATAGCTTCGACGTACTTGCTGAAGTAGTCTGTCTGGGTAAGCAGGTAGCGGTTCCCCTTCGCAGATGTCCTACTAGCATCAATTAGGTCAATGCCCACAAGATACCACACTTTAGCTGTAACTTTCACTGGGTGCAGCACGTTGTAACTTTTGTTTTCACGGCTATTACGTTGGCACCGGTCACAATTTTTAATCTAACAGAAAGAATAGCATAGTTGAGTTTTTTTGTGTACTTGTCCTAATGAGGTTACAAGCATTTACTTAATTTCTTTGCAAAATAAAAAATGATAACTTATTCTAAAATGGCTCCCTTTGCTGTCAGCTATCAACGCAGATGCGATCAAAAGACTTGACTAGTGGGAAGTTGTTTTGTTGAGTATCAGAGGAATGAAGGGGTGAAATTGCATCGGTGGGGGGAGGAGTGCAATATGGGAATTTTTGCTTTTAGCAACTGAGTTAATTGGCCACGGGAGGGGTATTGAGAAGGTGACTTTTCGAACCCTAGCCCCTGGTCAGAGCGAATCTTGCCCCGCAAAATTCGCGTGGGGTGAGAAAACATGACCCCAAGCATCCTAGTCTGACTAGTCTACTTTATAGATCCTCTGCTTTCTCTTTAGTTCGTCCAGAATACCGCCATCCCCTACAAAAAGAATTTATTTAACCCCAATTCCCTACCTTAGCAAGACATTATTTTAACTGTCACATCATATCTTAATACATCGTGTCAATGTCACGTAAAGGAGAAGTTTATTTTTTCTTACCATTTCAACGGTGTCGTTGTAGTACTGAGGCCAGTAATAGCGATCTTTGATCTTCTGGATCGTGTTATCACGTCCAGCGTGACCTCCAAAATCTGAACTGTGGCACTCTTGGAACACTCTCAATTTTTCCTCTTCTTTAATAACCAAACGCATAAATGTCGACCCATTTTGACCTTTGTCTAAGTAAAAAAGGTTGCTGGATTCTGCATTAAAGGTGAACTTCTTTGTGTACCTTCGCAAGACTGATTTTTCTTGTTTGCTTGAGCCCGTGGGATACTCGCCATCTCTTAAATATCGTACTATATTTTCATATTTCGTGGAGTCCATTTCGGCACCAAAATTCCCGCGAAAAAGGAGTGAAACCTCGAAAGAGTATCTGGGCCATGTTATTATTTTACTGGGTTCGCGTGATTGGCTGTAAAACAATAGTGTGCTGCTGAAGTTACTCACTTTACACTGATACAAATTGCACGCGGGGGATACACATATCACTGAAACTTCTCTTGCTAAGGTTTTTTTTTCAAAGTACATGCGAAGGTGGAAGATTGTTGGCGCTCTCGGGGAGATACAAATATCATTGAGTCAGCGCAGAGCTATCTGTATCCCCTTCATTTTTTACTGTTTTATCTTCTCTTGCTAAAGGAAATCTCGTCGATATCATCTAACACAAGCAATAATCAAACAACATGCAAAGATGGAATGATGTGTCGCTCGCAGGAGGGATACACATATCACTGAACCGGCGCAGAGAGATGTGTATCCCCTGTTTTTTTGTTGTCTTGCTGAAGGAAATATCGTCAATATCATCTAACACAACTAGTAACACAACTAGGGTTAAAACATCAATCAAACAACATGCAAAGATGGAAAATTGTGGCGCCCACAGGGGGGATACACATATCACTGAACCGGCGCAGGGATATGTGTATCCCCTGTTTTTTTTGTTCTGTTTGTTCTCTTACTGAAGGAAATATCGTCCATATCATCTAACACAACTAGTAACACAACTAGGGTTAAGACAGGAATCAAACAACATTCAAAGATGGAAAATTGTGGCGCTCACAGGGGGGATACACATATCACTGAACCGGCGCAGGGATATGTGTATCCCCTGTTTTTTTTGTTCTGTTTGTTCTCTTACTGAAGGAAATATCGTCCATATCATCTAACACAACTAGTAACACAACTAGGGTTAAGACAGGAATCAAACAACATTCAAAGATGGAAAATTGTGGCGCTCACAGGGGGGATACACATATCACTGAACCGGCGCAGGGATATGTGTATCCCCTGTTTTTTTGTTCTCTTACTGAAGGAAATTTCGTCGATATCATCTAACACATCTAGTAACACAACTAGGGTTAAGACAGGAATCAAACAACATTCAAAGATGGAAAATTGTGGCGCTCACAGGGGGGATACACATATCACTGAACCGGAGCAGGGATATGTGTATCCCCTGTTTTTTTTTTCTCTTGCTGAAGGAAATATCGTCGATATCATCTAACACATCTAGTAACACAACAAGGGTTAAGACAGGAATCAAACAACATGCAAAGACGGAAAATTGTGACGCTCACAGGGGGGATACACATATCACTGAACCGGAGCAGGGATATGTGTATCCCCTGTTTTTTTGTTCTCTTGCTGAAGGAAATATCGTCGATATCATCTAACACATCTAGTAACACAACAAGGGTTAAGACAGGAATCAAACAACATGCAAAGACGGAAAATTGTGGCGCTCACAGGGGGGATACACATATCACTGAACCGGAGCAGGGATATGTGTATCCCCTGTTTTTTTGTTCTCTTGCTGAAGGAAATATCGTCGATATCATCTAACACATCTAGTAACACAACAAGGGTTAAGACAGGAATCAAACAACATGCAAAGATGGAAAATTGTGGCGCTCACAGGGGGGATACACATATCACTGAACCGGCGCAGGGATATGTGTATCCCCTCTTTCGTTTTGGACTTTTTGAGTTATCCCTTGCTGTATGAAATTTTGTCAGTCATACTTATTCAACGCGACTAGTGACATAAAATTATAATCACGCTGGATAAGGAGAGGAACGAGTGTTTACATCAAAATTGCGGCCCATGAAGAAGTATAAAACTCTCCAGAAACGGCTTTGTGATTATTTTCTCTCGAATCGTTGCTCTTTTGTCGATTATGTTACTCATAATCTTGAATCATTTGTAGCCCCCTTGACGATGATTTCCCCAAATTCAAAAAAACAACAGAAATAAAACCGACACTTCTTTGGAGGGGTGGGGGGTAGGGGATACACATTTCACTGGCAGCCATATTGAAGGGATACACATATCACTAGGGATATGTTTACGGGGACACACATATCACGGGGATACACATATCACTGTGACACCGGCATAGCTGACGTTGTGCTAACAGGAGCGAAACGAAGTTTAAGGCCTTGAATCCTTTCCACATCTTTGTGTGTGCTTGACAAACTATAAAGAAATTTTCTACTTTGGGAACCACCTCCAACATGACAGAAAAACCTTTTTTCTTAACTTGCTGCAAGAAGACAGCCGAACACCATTCCGCAGGCTAGAAGGTAAACACTCAAACTATCTTGCTGACGTCACTTGCGTTGCTTTGCTATTTTCCCTGTTTCTCTGAAGCCTAATAGGATGTTTCTTTAAAGCGACTGATGTCATACTGCCTCGAAAAAGTCCGTTTCCTCATTAGTGATTATGCCTTTAAAGGAAAATAGAGAAGCAGGTTTCAAAGCTAGCCGTCGATACAATAGTTCAATGTCCATTACTCGAGCAATTTTGCTTTGCAAGCACATTCCATTCGCTTCGAGAATGATGTGCTCGACTTCTTGCAATTTTGGTGCATTATAAGCAATTCTTGTTTATGGCCAAGTATATGATAACAAAGAATACCCTAGAGCAGATCAAGGGGACACCAACTGACCGGTAAAGCGGTCAATAATTCATTAAACAACCTTGGCTAGCTATTTCAGATTTATCTTGTTAACTCGTCGTTGAAAATTTTGCTTGAAGTTTTGACCAACCGGAAACTTAGAAATATTTTAATATTCCTCATATATAATATCATGTAGGAATAGTAATCATTCCTAACTGTTAATTTTATGGAAGTTTTTGTTTCTTAATTACGAGGTTTAATCTGATGCCCAATGTTTCATGATCAATTGCTGAAAACTTTTGAAAGAGCATGAGGTGTAAAGAGAATGCAAGTGAGGTACAGCTTTCTTGGGATTGTATTGTACGTAGGAATTGACTTAGAGGCCTCTGCTCCATATACTAAGAGCAAAGAGATAAAGAACGTAAAAGTGAAGTGAAGTGCTGTGGAGTTTTTCAAGCCTGATGTCGTCGGTTTCAAGATCCTGTATTGCTAGGATATTATATTGACAAGTCCTGGTCTCGGGGGACATACCATGCCACCCAATTACGCCTTCATCCAGTTCCTACCTAAATCCAACAAATGTCTTCCTTGAATCTGGCAGGACACCTCTCTGGTGCATGCTTGTTGGGGTTGATCTTCTTGGTCTTTGCTTTTTTTTCGATTGCTATGCTCCCTGACTAATTTCAAACTGAATGTAGCTCTGCTTTGTCAAATTTCTTCTTGCAAATTTTTCAGTATAGTACTCTTCTGGCCACCCGCTGGGATTCAGTGACTGTTGGGTATCTTCTCCAGTAGAGTTCAGGGTTGTAAACTTATGAAGAACATAGCAACAACAATTTACCGCCTGCTCTCTTTGAATAAGTCATGTTTAGGCTTTAAGTTCCAACTGGAGAAGGCCTCGGTGGCCAGGCTTTCTCTCAATATGAAATAGTCAGTCTCTGGCTAATACATTTCCAGGTGTAAAGGATGATCTGTCTCAGACTCTCATGCAGGACAGTGTGGTCATGTAATGCCACCAAACTTTTATTTTTGAAGTTTTGCCGCGGCAGTCATCTCAAGTTCTTAGCCTGAAGTTAGCCAGCTTTTGTTAAGTTAAAAATGACGTCTTGAAAACAAAAGACAACTTTAAGCACGGAATACTTAACTGATGTTAAACAATAAAAACGCAAGCAATGGAAATTTTAGCTTTGATCTAGTTAACTCTTACCTAGTTTGATCTATGCTTAAAATTAAAGGGATGTTCTTAAGTGGTTAAAGTATGATAGGTTAACTAAGGGATGTTTCATGGGGATATCATGTTGGGTATCATGAAGGTTCGTTTATTAGTTGTTCAGAATTACATTGCAAGTTCAAAGTTCATTCACATAAACCTTCTTCTTTCATTAATTCTTTCTTAAACAAATATATTCTATTTTAGTGCACTTCCACGACAACCCTTTTATCGCAAAATGTTCGATTAGAGTTTCCAACAAAGGCTTGTTTGCATAAAAAAAATATCGCCTGGTTTGATGTTTCAACTTTACATAATGACCACTTGTCGGTCTGGCCGCAAGGGTGGTGGTACGGGTGGTGGTACGGGTTTGCTGTTCAGTCAGAGAAAGCATTGATGTGTCGAAAATTGATGCCGGTGAGAAAACCTCGTCAGAGTTCTCGGAATGAAGCTTTAATACCAACGCGTTTCGCGCTAGGTTGTCAATTATCTATCGTCCACCCTACTCTAATCTGCATCCGGTGTCTCTGAAAACGTTTTTTGATGACTTTGCTTCATAGATGGGGAGTATCATTCTAACACCAGAACCGCTTATCATTACGGGTGACTTTAATATCCATGTTAATAATGCGATCGATTCTGATGCTTTTGAATTTTTGGATTTGCTGGCGTCGCTTGGCCTAAAACAACATGTCATTGGTCCTACCCACGAGGGTGGCCATACCCCGGACTTGATGATCACCAGGCAATATGATCAGGTTACTAAATCTTCCCGATGATTGATTGGTTTATTTCTGACCATGCCGCAGTACTGTGTCAACTTGATTCGGTGAAACCCTGTACAGGAGTTGAGGAAATCAGTTACAGGCAGCTAAAATCTATTGACATGGATGCACTCAGAGCTGATTTAACGACGTCTGAATTGTGTACCAATGTTTTTACGGATTTGGATATGATGGTCTCCTGCTACAACTCGACACTGTCGTCGTTACTTGATAAATGTTCCCCTCTGAGAACTAAGTCTGTTGCTAATAGGAAGCGTGTGCCTTGGTTTAAGCACAAAATTAAGGATGCTATTAAGGCTAGGCGGAGAGCTGAAAGGGAAATGGCGCTATTCTAAATCTGCACAGGATCTAAATGTTTTCAAAAAGAAGAAATACCATGCAATGTACTTGATGAACCAAGCTCGCTGTGATTATTACACCAATCATATCCAGCAAAACAGTTCTGATCAGAGAAAACTGTTTAAAGTTACAAAGTCCCTGTTGTGTGACACCAAAACTGCATCGTTTCCTCGTGTTGAAACTGTTTAGCTTGCCAATGATTTTGGAGAGAATATAAACGCGTCTTTGGCTAATTTATCTACATCCTCCGTACCATCTCTACCTGCTACTGACATTACATGCCTGAAAGAACAATTTACCGGTTTTAGGACTCTCTCTCAAGAACAAGTGCGCATGCTGATTAGTAAATCAGCGGGTAAATCTTGTCAACTCGACCCCATTCCCACTACGATTGTTTTCAAGTTGCTGGATGTTCTATTGCCAGTTATCACTAAGCTGATCAACCTCTCTTTTGACGCCGGTCAATTTGCTGAGGCCTGGAAAGAGGCGCTTGGGTTACCATCTCTCAAGAAGCCTGGTTTGGACTTTGCGTTTAAAAATTTCCGTCCAGTCAGTAACCTCTCTTATATTTCTAAATTATCAGAGAGGGCTGGGGCTGAGCAGTTTATGGAGCATCTGACTGCCAACAATTTACATTCTCAGCTTCAATCGGCGTATAAACAGCAACACAGCACGGAAACGGCCTTACTTAAAGTTAAGAATGATAGATAAGATGCCTATGGATGAGCAACATGTCACCTTGCTCGTATTATTAGGTTTAAGTGCAGCTTTTGACATGATACATCATGATAAGCTGATTGGTCGTCTTGAGTCTGATTTAGGAATAACTGACAATGCGCTTGCCTGGTTTAAATCGTATATATTTGACTTCTTCCAGCGTGTCTCTGTAAATGGTAGTCTCTCTGATCAGTTTCCTTTAAAACAAGGTGTTCCTCAAGGATCTTATTTGGGCCCCTTGCTTTTCACTATCTACACGCGCAAACTGTTTCAGATCGTTGAACGCCACCTCCCACAAGTTGACTGCTACGCGGACGTTACACAGTTGTATGTACATGTATCATTCAGCCCCAATCGATCTGCGGATGCTGATTTTGCCATCAAGTCCATGACTGACTGCATCAGTGACATTAGGAATTGGATGATTTTAGATAATCTTATGTTAAACGATGATAAAACATAATTTTTAATTATAGGTACTAGGCAGCAGCTGGCTAAGGTTAACATCAATTGCATTAGGGTTAGGTCGACTGTTGTTTGTCCTGTAACAGTAGCTAGAAACCTAGGCTCATGGTTTGATGGGCAGCTCACTATGTCAACTCATATTGGGAAGTTATTTTGTGTTGCCTTTTACCATTTGCATAATATCAAACCATTCGCAAGCATTTGTCTCGAGAATCAACGGAAATGCTTTTCCATGCATTTATTACATCTCGTGTTGACTATAGTGACAGTCTTTTGTATGGGCTGCCCAACTACCAGCTTAACAAATTGCAGAGAGTTTTGAATGCCTCAGCCAGGCTAGTTTGTAATGCCCCTAGGTTTTGCCACATCTCACCCCTTCTTCGTAGTCTGCATTGGCTTCCTGTTAAAGCCCGGATACAATTTAAGATACTGCTTATTACGTTCAAAGCAATTCACGGCCTTGCTCCTAAATATCTATGCGATTTACTGACATTTAAATCGTCCTTATATAACCTTAGATCTTCAGGTAGTATTTTACTTTCTATGCCAGCTGTTCGATCGAAGACGATAGGTGATAGAGCTTTTATGGTAGCAGCGCCAACGCTATGGAACTCTCTTCCAAAAGAACTTTGCGCGATTACTAATGTGAACAGTTTTAAGGCGCATATTAAGACTTATCCTTTTAGAACTTTCTATTGGTGAGCAATTTTATATTCAGTTCTTACCTGCATGCACATACATTCTTTTTATTGTTATTATTTTTTTTAAATGCATTGGTTTTTATTTGTTTCTTGTAAAGTAATACAGTTGCGCAGCTGATCATTCCATGTTAAGCTGCGCACAAGAAATAACCTCTACCCTTATTTTGGTTGTTTTAGCTTATTTCCCGTGTTTTCGATCGAATTTTCACCGTTGATAGATTTTTACTTGTACTTTAAAATATTTTTATAATAATGGTATAGAATATCTCCCAATTCACAGGTACTGCATATTGGTTAAAGTAAACAACTATTGTTCTAAATTTTACATTGAACTACGAAGTGCATTTTTTGTTTACCTACTGAGTTTACCATCACGTCCGTAGTTAATTTATGGAAAAGTATTAGCCAATCATTTTCCGACAAGAAGCTTCACACCTCTGCAAAATCGATTACAAGTCAGGATTTTCAAGATGTACTTTCAGTACCATCCTCTCTGTTATTATGAAAAGTTTGTGTATGAGTAGATAGGTACCTTGTAATTGTTCTTCTTGTCTTGTATTGGCCAGTTGACCTAAGCTTAACAGTGAAAACCTAGATTGAAAAAAAAAAATGACAGAGTGATTATCTCGAAGGTTTCATACTAATCAGTCTATGTTAACAAATCAGAGAAGACTTAAGTCAGCATTAGTTTACAATAGATAGATATAGATAGATGATAGGTAGATAGGTAGATAACCGACTAACTGCCCCTAGGTCTCCGAGGATGGGACTGTTTCGACATCGCATATATAGAAGTATTACTTGTTCTGTTCGTGGAAAGCTTTGGAATATTAAAAAGGCGCTGTCGTCTTAGGTTATAGTGTGAGTTGTCGTAGTCTGGTGGAAGGAGCGCCTTCAAATTATCGTTTGGATCACTGACAATGTTATCAAAAAGCCAGCTACAATAAGCAGATGGTTTCCTGGCTGAAATAAAAATTGGTGTAATACGAAGTTACAAGAGAATTGTAAGAACGTAAGAATCTAAAGAGGTTCTACTCCTGTTGAATAAAGCCTTATAAAGAGTCAAGAACACAGTTTCAGTTGCCTTTGTTGAAAGGGTAAGCTAGTCCCTCCTCAAACGTCATTTCAACTGATAAGCTTTAAATAAAGGGCGAAATGCAAGTGTGCCTAAATTAGATTATTCCTTCTCGATCGCCATCATCAATCGCCCTCTAAACCAGGTGCATAGTTTTTCGTTAAGGGAAATAGGCTTTACTTCAGTTCAGGGAGAGGAGGCTGCCTCAGTCCATCTTTGGATCTTACGTAACTTAGCTTGTAAAACAAGGAGCGGCTATAGAATATCAGGCCACTCCTAATAGCTTCATGCACTGTTGTAAAACTGATGTAACACTTTGTAAGATAGGAAACGGATCTAATCCGGGATTTTGCCGTCAGCAGCCGCAGTGGCCTAGCCAACAACATCACGGCTTAACTGACAGACGACCAATAACATCGCGACTTACAGTGTGACGACTTCAACCTGGGCCACCTAAGAACTTTCGGTCAATCAGAAACCGCTCCTTTAACAAAGAATTGGGCGTGCGGAACTCATCGGCAACTGTCCTATTTTTCGATTGGTTAGTTTCGATCCTAAATGTTTCAGAATGGTATGTCGTACACACTTACCCTTCTGTCTTGTGTGGCTGCTTTTTGTAAAATATACAAGCTGCATATATGTTGGAGGACTGGCTATACATATTGCTCGGTAAGGGGTATAAAAGTGCCTTGTATCCTTGGGGAAAAAAAGCTGTCTGGTTATAGGCTGGTTACAAGACGTTGATTAAAAATCTCGCTCTGTTTTCTTTATCGCTAAATTGTATCTTCTTATTCCTGAAACTAGAAGTCATCTTTCTAGATCTGGTCCAGAAAATTCATTTGTAAAAAAAGGAACGTATAAAGTCTTTCTTTAACAGAGACACTTGCGGTCAACAAAAAAAAAATCAACGGCCGCGCTAGCGCTGGGCGCTATTGTTGTCAAGAAGACATGGAGTAATCTCTTGCCGAACGGGAATTCAAACCTTATAAACCTATCACGTAATTGAAAGATAGCTCTCATAATTGCTCCTAAACTTCTCACTTTCTGTTAAAAAGCGTTTTTTCTTGCATCCCCGCGGAAATGTCCAAGCAACAAGAGAACCAAAAATGAACAAGGTGCTCGTTCGCGGGATGGGAAAGCATGCACGGTCAGTGCGGTATTGCGTAAGTTTCTGTCCAATTCTTTAGCTGCGCGGAAATGATTTCGACTTAGTTTACTTTCAAGAAGGCAACGTACAAGAAAACAAGATTCTTTGGGGTGTGTTGGATTGGGAAATCCGAATTTAAAATTTAAAATCCGGATTTCGGATCTGCAATCGAACGCGAAATCCGAAAACGGGTTTCAACGCCGCGATATCTGGTTTTGAATTTTCATTTTTACTACCGTTTGATTGGGAAATCCGAAAAAGGATTTGAAAAACTGTCTTCTCGATGATTCTCACTCTACAATCTTCATGTCCGACTGTGAAAATTCCTTTCTTCTTTTCAAGTCTTTTCAGGAACTGGTAAGATTTTTTCTCCAGGTAGTTAGCAAAAAGTTGTACTGACTGGTAGTATCCGTGGTCTCATTTAAAAATAGCCTTGCCGGGCTACGTCGTCGGACCACTTGTAATGTCTGGACATGCGTCTGCTGGGAAATTTCCCAGTGAGTCAGGTTGCAGGTTGTATAGGTGCACCTTGCTGGCTGGGAACTCTTCCATCAGTCTTGCTGGGAGTGAGGAACAGTTAAGTTTTTCTCAGCATTCTCCCAAAACGCTTAAAATGGCTTCAGAAAGCTTTATTCATCCTTTATTTCCGTTTTTAGGTCTTTTTCTCAACATTTCCTCCTGGGTGCCCCTGACAGTTTTTAATCCTTTTATCAACTGAGTCAATCTGAGATAGGTTGGCTGCTGTTGGGGGTTTTTCGGGTGATAGCTTTTCGTCAAAGCGAATAACGGACCATACACAAACTGCACTAAATCCGCTGATTTGCTCTAACACGGCCTGGACTAACGCTCGAAACGTTCCTCCCTTAGGTGGCAACACCACAGAAAATCAAAAACAATATAAAACGATAAAAAGAACAACATAAATACAACTCAACGGATGACAACTGTTATTTGAAAAATGTCTGCAAGACTAAAGATGTCTTTATATCTTGAATTGGCGTCCAAAAACAGGCAAACTGAAGATGGGAACTTACTGTAGCATTGATCGAGGTAAGCATGTTTTTAAAATATGAATACAGAATAATACAGATCGAAGCGGGTGTTATCTGCCTCAGTTTTCGACCTCGACCAGTAACACCTTCCGAGATCAGCATATTGCCTCAGATCATACGAATGCTCAATCCAATAAATGAATTGCTACTAGGAATTATTATTCATATTTTGCCGTCTCTGAATGGCTCCAATCCTTCGACTTATCCTTCATAACCGACTTTCATATTTGGCCCGCGGAAGATGCAAACAATATGCCAACGATTCGTTGCTAATTATTTGCCTGGAAATGGCCCTCCTTGGGCAATATAGCGAACTTAAAAATAGCGTTCATGGCTATTGGCAGAGGAATAGCTGAATTTCTGACTCAAACTGAACGGAAGCAATGCCATACTAAGCAAAAGTCTACAAGCAAGTACTCCTACAAGAAAAAAAATCTCCTTTTGTGTCATCGGAAACCGTCCCCAGAAATAGGCCATTGTTTTGAAGAAAATGTATAGTCGGAGTCTACGAGGAAGTAAGCTCTTGTTAAGAACCTAGAAATATTTTGAACAATCAGCCTCATTTAATGATTGTTTTAAATATCTGTATCACCATCTAGACTGTTGTCACAGGCTAAATAATGCACTGAATCAATTACTCCCTCACGACGATGGGGATTCAGTTGGATTCACCTGTACGTTTAGCCTGCGAAAACATCCGTTTCTCCTCGCTCTTCGTCGCTGAGGACGTTTCGTGCGGAGGAACGTCTGCGACTCAGTGACAGAAATTCCATACTGATGACGCAAATCAATGTTTACATAATAAATCCGGTAGTCATGGGGTTCCAAATATAAATTTGTCTAATTTTGCGTGTCTTCTGGTCGATTTTGGTAAAGTGTTGTGTTGATCTGCCCACGAGCTCCGGCAAAACTCAAATGCTTCTTCTAGAGAAGACTATATTCCACAAATATTGACTGTTTTGTTAGAGATTCTTCGTGTTTACATTTGACCTTTTTGGCCTTTTGTCTTTTGTCTGTCATTTGTGAACAATAACTAAAACAATGTAACTGCTCCGTCGACCAATCAGCGCTTCTGGCCGGATTCTGGACAGATTTTACGTCATCAGTATGGAATTTTTGTCGCTGAGTCGCAGACGTTCCTCCGCGCGAAACGTTCTCAGCAGCGAAGAGCGAGGAGAAACGGATGTTTTCGCAGGCTACTGTACGTTCGGGATGAAAAAAAAGGGTTTTCTTAATTACGCAAACCGCATGCAAAGGTATTTCTTTCCATTAATAAAATGCAACGCGACTTTTTTGATGTGTTATGACAACTGCACCATGTAGTTGTCTAGCAAAAACAATACCAACTGGGGAGTTAATCGTGGGCGTCTCAGTTTTATCAGTGGTAGATAAGTAGTTGGGGGATTTCCCAGCCGTCAGTTTCATTTGTGGTTTAGATTCTAGTTGCATATTATCAGTTGAGTTGATCTGCACAAGTTTTCTGTGCTCCAAATGGTAACTGCTTCGTCGCTATGCCTTACAACAACATGCTTGATCAGCGCTTCGGTAAGACGTAGTATTAAGAGCGTCTATCATTTTTCTTGAGTCTATAGATAACCGCTTTTAGAATCACAGTATGGGAAAGTAAATCTATTCTGCAAAAACGCAAATCAAGTCGGATTGAAAAGGAGCATCTCAAATAATGATAATGCTTGGTTTCAATATTTTTTCTTTGCAGCAACCAATTCATTTTCAATTGATCGCAAAGTGCAGCTTCGTTCTTACGGGTTTTACCGAATGATTTGAATGTTATTATTGTAGGAGACGAAAATATGATCATGGTGTCGAACAATTGTCGTTATCGAAACAGTCTCTTAGAAAAAAAAAAAAAATTAAAAGCATTTATTTTTCGTAAATGTTATTCCTTTTCGGTAACTCCAATTTTTTCAGTAATTATATGATGTTTTTCCTTTTCCGCGAGGAAAACGATCGATTCATCTAATTTTTCAACTGAAAAATCTGCTTTGATGAGCAGATTTCTCTGTAAATGCTTTGGACTTGTTTGCTCCAGCTTGCATTTACAATATTACTCATATTTCTCGTAGGCTGAAGGAGACACTTCTCCAGCAAGTGGACTTTCAGAACCTGTTTCCTTTTCTGATCACATGACAAAACTTATTCCTATCCTGTGAACTGAATCAAAAGGAAAATACTCTCTTTATCAAACCACATTTTTCTTTGCTTACTTTTGTTATGAAACTGAAAAAAAAAAGACCAAAACACTTCCGCTTTGCAATACAAAAAGTGTTTTCCTAAGAAACTATTTAAGGTGGGATTATATGCGATAATCTTTAGCGCGAAATGTTCTTTAAGGGAAAGTTCATTTAATATGACAAGGGGGGGGGGGGATGAAGATATTAAGGGGGGCTCCGAAAATTTTTAGACACCCGAGGGGGTTCTGAAAAAAATTGTTGCGCTAGGGGGGGCTCCGAAAATTTGTATACTTCAAAACCAACACATGACATCATCATACAGATCGGATGGTTTTCAACTCAACAATTTAATGACCTGGGCAACTCAGCTATATCACGTGGTTTACAGATATAACAAATGTAGTCTCAGTAATTATTACACTCTTGTTCATCCCAAAAATGCTTTAGAAAATTGTATCACAACTGTATCTCAAGTTTGTCATAGTATAAACCATTGAAGACAATAACGGTAAATATATTTAATACAGTCTAGCGATCTTTTTTCAGGGGAGCAAAGGAATTGAAGGAGGAGGGGGGGGGCTCTGAAATTTTTTCGACTACCAAGGAGGGGGCTCCTAAAAAATTGAACTGCTAGCGAGGGGGGCTGCTAAAATTTCAAGCTTCGAGTTTCAATATCTTCATCCCCCCCCCCTTGTCATATTAAATGAACTTTCCCTAACATTGGAGGTCAGCCCTTGAAGAAAAAGAGATGCTAAAAGCCTGTAGGAAGAAAGAATTATGTCTCTAGCTTATATTCTAGCCATATTCATAGTAAAATGAAAAAAAAAAATTGTTTTCATCCAAGGAACGGAAATATACTGATTTTTAGCTCTTGCTAGTATTCCATTATGGCTCTCGCTAGTATATATAAATTTTTGCCATGATCAACGAAAATGTGAAATTTGTTTTACCACATACAGATATATTTATTTCAAGGCACCTTGGGAAGTTAAAAAGTTGGAAAAGAAAAGCACTGAATGTTCAGTTTCCATTCTACCTGGTTAGAAATGTTTTTCAGTTTCTCACTATGAAACCCAATAATTTTAATCAAAATCTATTTATACCAGATTCCTAATCGAGGGTAGTTTAATTATTGCCACTGGTTATAATATTGACAGCCCATTTCAAATTGATTGTCAAATTGTAGGTCCGCCAACAGTAGTAACTGCATCGGGTCTAAATTAACTGCCCTTCATCGACAGGAAGCTAAGGATGCCAGGATTCCAAATATCAAACACTGACAAGCAAAAAATTGCAGAAAAATACTTCTGCCTTTATTGCCTGTTACTGTTAAGAGATGCGATGCAAACAAGCTGTGGTCATTTCTATTGCCAGTCCTGCTTGGAGAGACTTTTCACGTAAGTTTTTAGTACGATAGATTTAAAATAATTAATTTGAAAATTCTAACTGCTCGGTTGAATCACTTACACCCAGCTGCAAATCAGTATACAATTTATAATATTTTCGTAATGTGCGAATTCCAGTAGAGCAGATGGGATACTACATTTTTTCTTAGGGATGTGAATGAAATGGTGATGATCTGTCTTCAAGACCAGCAACGCCTTCTGTCAAACGAGGTACGTAATACTTGTTGCGATACTTGTTACGATGTATTTTCCATATCAGACGCCAGCATCCAACTCTAAATAGAAATAGAAATAGGGGTTATGAACCTCCCGCGATTTTTAATCATTTTCTGTCTTATGAGTAATTCACCTGTCACTGAGTGTTTTTTGCTGATGAAGACTGTGCGATACAGTCGAAAACTACAAGACTACAAAAATTTGATGCTTTTAGACTAGAATTTATTTTTTCGAGTTTGATAACCAAGGTCAAGAGGAGAATTCGTGTAGATTTTCTAGGTTATTTGAGGCATCGCGTATAATGCACGGTTACATCCGGGAATTTAACAGGCTAAAGCCGTATTCGAGCCACGATTTGGTCTTTAAAATATGGCGGAATAATAAGACTGAAGCGACTTTGAGAGTTTTTGTCTCTGATTGTGAGTTACTCATAACCAAATCTCAATGGGTACCACCGGAATATTAATATCAAAAAACGTCAAATCCAAGATCTTACCTTCGATTAATGCCAGCTTATCGGATTTCACTGAGTTTTTCGCGCTAAAAACCAACCAAAAAATCGCCATTTTTGTATGGATTTTCACTTGCGTAGACTTTCAGATTACAACAAAAGTTTGCAGAAATCGCGAACGGTACCACCTGATATCGTGACATCTCTCGTCTGCCTTTAAAACCGCCACAGTCTTTTAAACCAAAGAATGTGATAAAACTTGGGTTTTTTGTTTTCCTTTGAATTTGACCTAAACCCGTGAGGGGTAGCCAGCGCGAAGAAAATTTCCAGAACTGAAAACGTCTTTGAAAGCCAAAAAAAATCCTCCGCGTTTCGGTCGCCATCTTTACTTGTTTCCAGTTCTCCTTGACCGTTTTGTTGTTTTTGCCTCATGTATGCTTCATTTAGAAGTGTCACGGATAAAAACAGCACAATACTAACCCCCACCCAGACGGGAAATTTTTTGTTGACCTCAATGGACCGGGAATTCTACGCGACGATTTGCGCCATGCGGTATTTGTATAAGTAATAGCATGATTTGTAGTGATATTTGGCATAAATACCCCGAGTGATATTTCAAAATTCCTATACGTAATTTCACGAGCCGTTAGGTGAGTGAAATTTGAGACAATTTTGAAATATCACGAGTGGTATTTATGCCAAATATCACGTACAAATCATGTTATTGTTTGTTTATACTAC